TGTCTGGGCACGACCGCCCCTTCGACCCTATCGGCCGGTAATCTGGGGACTATCTCCCCCTACCGTCACTAGTACATAGCATCATATCATTTTAGCACATAACATATCACAGGTAGTAACAACCCTAGATGAATATCACAGAGACAATCATCTATCATGCAACTCCTACTGGTGAGCCGGCATTGTGGCCGTAGACTCACCGCTACTGGAAGGTAACTCACCTCAAAGTGGCTGCTGACCTGCGTGGGAACTGACTGACTTCTGCTGCTGCTGCTCCGGAAATCCTCCGGCTATAATTCCCACAAAAACACTCAGTCAAATACTGCTAACCGACCTCAGGGTAAAATGACCATTTACCCCTAACTAAACCAAGAGTCAAAATCAAAGTCAACTTCCAGTTGACCCGACTCGCCGAGTTGGCTTGCCAACTCGCCGAGTCCCTATCCACTCGATTGACCATAATCTCGTCTCTACTCGTCGAGTTAGGCATTGACTCGACGAGTTTCCTTCTAAACCGATGACCGCTAGTCCTTCATCCTACTCGCCGAGTTGTATGAACAACTCGTCGAGTTCATCTTCAACCGAAGAACATTCTATGCTGAGACTCGCCGAGTCGTATGAACAACTCGCCGAGTCTGTTCTTGAGACTCGCCGAGTCAGGGCATTGACTCGCCGAGTTCCTCCATGAGTGAGTCTGGCTTCCGACTCACTGAGTCACCCCCCCCCCATGACTCACGACTCCACTCAGCAACACGAAAAGGGGAAAACTCGCGGACTCGCGACTCGACTCGCCGAGTCGGCCACATGCCACTATTATATACTCGATTTTGCTTGGATCCAGCTCATTCCATACGTAGATCTAGGTTCCTAGGGCTTGATTAACACGTAAAGTTTCCAACTTTACGTGTAACTAAACACCAATGAAGGTTTTAGGGCTCAAAATGCACTAAAAGAGTAGATCTAGGGCTTTCATGCAATATGGCTTCATAAAGGCAATGGATCCGAGCTCCTGGAGCTCAATCATGCCTAGATCTAAAGGTTAATCAGCTTATCACAGACCCTAGTTCATACCCAAGCTTGGAAATGGCTCAAGAAGGACTTTAATGGAGCTCTAAGGGACTATAAGCATGAAAACAGAGGGAAACTGAGTTATACCTCAAGGAAATCTCTGAAATAACACCAAGATGCCTGGCCTCCTTCCTCTCCTCTTGATCTACTCTCCTTTCTCTCTCAAAGTCTTCAAGAAATCACACCAAGCACTTCAATTTCACAAGGAACGATGTTAGAACGATATAGGGGGCTCTGAGGGTGAATGGGGGCGAGCTTGGGGCGCATAAGGTTGGTTTAAATAGGGTGCAAACCCTCGGAATTAGGGTTTCACCAGACAGTGGGGACTCGCCGAGTCGCCAACTTAAACGTGTTCCATGTCCCGGCTCTACTCGGCGAGTCGGGCCTACAACTCGCCGAGTCCAAGGCTAAAAATGCAAAATACTTAGATAAATTTACATACCAGGAACCGGGTGCTACAAATCTCCCCCACTTATTTTAGACTTCGTCCTCGAAGTCTGCTGCTCGGTCCTGAACAGCTCGGGGTAATGCTCCATCATTTCTTCCACCGGCTCCCAAGTCCACTCTGAACCCTTTCGGTGCTGCCATTGCACCTTCACTAATTCCACCCTCTTGTTCCTCAAATCCTTCGACTTCCGGTCGAGGATTGCGACTGGGCGCTCAATGTAATTCAGGCTGTCGTCAACCTGGATATCCTCTAACGGCACCACCGCTGAATCATCCACTAGGCACTTCCGCAGCTGGGAGACATGGAAGGTGTTGTGGATCTGACTGAGCTCGGCTGGCAGATCCAACCTATATGCCACCTTGCCCACCCGGGCCAGAACCCTGAAGGGTCCAATGTACTTGGGGCCCAATTTGCCCCGTTTCCTGAATCGGATGACACCCTTCCATGGTGACACCTTCAGGAGGACCATATCCCCGACCTGGAACTCCAGATCTGATCGGCGCTTGTCAGCATAACTTTGCTGCCGACTCTGTGCAGTCTGAAGCCTGCTCCGAACCTGCTGGATCCTCTCGGTCGTCTTGAGCACCACTTCGGTGCTCCCCGTGACCCTCTGGCCTACCTCACCCCAGCATATCGGGGTCCTGCACCTCCTCCCGTACAACATCTCGAAGGGAGGTCGGTCGATACTTGCGTGGTAGCTGTTGTTGTACGAAAACTCAGCTAGAGAAAGATAGGTATCCCAGCTACCACCGAAGTCTAGTACGCATGCCCGCAACATATCCTCCAGAGTCTGGATGGTCCGCTCACTCTGACCATCGGTCTGCGGGTGAAAAGCGGTGCTAAAATGTAGACGAGTACCCAGCTCGTCATGGAACTTCTTCCAAAACCTAGAAGTAAACCGTACATCTCTGTCTGAAATCACGGAGACTGGCACTCCGTGCTGCGCCACCACCTCTCGGATGTAGATTTTGGCCAACTTCTCTGCCGAGATACTCTCTTGGATCGGTATGAAGTGAGCGCTCTTGGTCAACCGATCCACGATGACCCATATAGAATCCACTCCCCGTGCGGTCCTGGGAAGCTTGGTGATAAAATCCATCGTGATGTCTTCCCATTTCCACAGTGGGATATCCAACGGCTGCATCTTGCCGTGTGGCCTCTGGTGCTCGGCCTTGACCTTCCTGCAGGTCAAGCACCGCTCAACGTACCATGCTACATCCCGCTTCATGCAGGGCCACCAATAGTCTAGACGAAGATCTTTATACATCTTCGTTGCCCCGGGATGAATGGAGAATCGGGATTTGTGCGCCTCCTCCATCAGAACCTGACGCACACCCCCGTGATACGGTACCCACACCCTGCGGTGTAGTGTCAAAGTTTTAAGTTTTTATTTTCATGTGGTTCATAATACATGTAATATTAGGTTTCTAGGGACAACCGATGTAATTTGATAAAAGCTCAAGGACTTAATATAAAATTTAGAAAAACAAATGATTTGTACACAAGGTTTATTCAGCAAATTTGATTTCATAACTAACCTCTTTTTGTTGCAAAAGGCAAAATGAAAAAAATTTGATAAACTTTAGGCGTGAACAAAATTAAAATTGTCGTGGGGAGAAACCATATACTTAATTTTTTTTTTTTAAATAAAAATTCCTATGGTATTTGTGATTGTGTTTTGAGAAATTAAATATCCTTCCTCAAACCCTTATAAAAATGTTGATATGTGTCACATTTATAAATTAATAATCATTTAATCCATTTTTTTATTTCATATGACAAGGATAATTAGGAATAACATATAGAAAGATACTTAATTTCTCTTGTGTTTTTTTAGATACTTTTTAAAGAATGATGCTGAAAAATAACTTCATTCTTAAGGCTAATAAACTTTCTTGGGTTCAATTGCTTCAATTGAATCCTTGATTTTGATTAAGAAGGTGTGTTGTGGGCTTCCCCAACCTTCATACTACCTATGACGAATTTTGGCATATCATGCTTCATGATTGCTATAACCAATTTGGGATTAATGATAAGCTTCATATTGAATCCTAATGATAAACAAACAAATGTTCATTGTGTTGAATTGCTTTGGTTGACCAATTCTCTCCAATATTTGAGCATCCCACCATCTTGCTTAATTGCAAGCTTTCTAGTTATTCAGGTCTTTTAGTTTTCAAGCAATCACAACACCCCCCCCCCTTTTTTAGTTTAATTGTAGTTAGTTAGTTTTATTACACTAGTTCTATTGGATTGCATCGGTGATTGAATACAACCATTTCCCCGATGATCGATACCCCTTTTTACCATTATATTACGTTTTCTTTGCAAACAAATGGTGTAATTTGCTTGGTGGACTTGATATCCCACCATAAACAATTCCATGAGGGGCGTTAGGGGGGGGGGGGCAAAGTGGGCAGCTGCACATGTCCTAATTTTTTTATTATATATTTTATTTAAAAATAATAATTTATAATAACGATAAGGGTCTTTTTTTCTGGTTCGTCTTGGACCTTTGAGGATATTTAATCATCAGGATCGACCCTGAACAAATCGGTCTTTTCTGACCGTGAAATTAAGGATGTCACATTTGGACTTAATGTCTTCGATTCCGTTCTCTATTTTTGAAGATCAACATCAATTTTAGACTAGTATAGCGCCACATATTTATCCACATTTTAAATCTTAGTTTTGTTTGAAGCCATCTTGTTTTCCACAACTTCCATACTTAAATATATTTCTTCGTTGTTCATTGCCTTCAATTTCTTATGCATATTTGTCATAGTATATACGCAATGCTTATTTGGAAGTTCAGGATCAATCCTATGAAAATACTTATTTTTTCTTACTTGGTCCTGCATATTCCATAAGAAATTAAAAGAATTTCGTCAAAAAGAAAAATAAAGACATCGATATTACCATCCAATTAGGACTACCCCTAAACATTCCACATGTATTATCCTTACTCCAACTAACTGTACTATTCACTTCCTTCTCACGATTTCATCTATACGAAGAGTTTCATTCACATGGATTTCATTCTTGTAGATCATTTGGGTCAATGAAGGACAGAAGGACAATGCGGTAAAAAATCTCAAATCGATTGACCGGATTTTGCAATGGGAAGAAAGACAACTTGAAGGACATATTGTGGACAAATAAATTAAAAGGTCACTTGCCACGTAATCATCCATGTAAAATACCAATGGACAAATGAAAATAGACAGTAGCCAATAAAAAAGATCGAACTTTGGACAAAAAAAAAAAGTTTATGGATTCCTTATGGGCATAAAAAAAATATATCACCTAAATGACACAAGACGATATTTATTTGTAGTATTTCAACATTATTCTAACAAAATAAAGAAAAGGAAAAAATCATTTTTTGCAAAACAAACGGAAGATAATGCATCTTTCGGTGTTTAGTTGAACGCCGTTATGGCTGCAAAGATGTTGCATCTGACAGACACAATCCACTGACCCACCATTATAAAAATCTCGAAATCAATTCGAAAATTTTCCCAGATTAACTTACGTAATCTAAATATTGTTCTTCCCAAATTACAAAATCCAAGACACACGCTCTTTCTCTCACTCTACATTCTCTTTCTTTCTCTTTCTAGATTAGAACACCCAGTTTACTTTCCAAGATATTGGAACTCCCCAGTTTGATTAAAGATTTGCAATAAGAAACCACTGATTTTGAGGTTTTTCAATTACACACAATCACAAACATTCATTTCTACTGTTTGAAAAAGGAGAGAGTAGGTTTTCTGTGTGGAATGTAATATGAAATTGTGGAGAATACAAGAACAGTATATTATATTATTCGATTTTAATAAATGGGGGTAGCAAAAGCTTGGAGATACACCGGAGGAGTTTTGGTGTTGGCTAAAAACCATCATCATAATCATAATCATAAAAGCAACAATCTGAAGCAGAAAAATCAGCAGCATTTGTTGTCTCGGCATCATCATTGTTTGCTATGGCAGCCGCTGGACACGGAGGCGGCGGTCGGTGGACAGAGGAGGCGGATCTCGTGGACGGTGGTTTGTGGGGTGTTGTTGTTTGTTTTGGGGTTGATATCGTTTTTTACAGGTCATGTAGCTTCTGATCTTGAGTGGTATTCACATCGACTTGTTAAGCGCCGATTGTGGAAGCACAAAGTGGTAATCTCTCTCTCTCTCTCTCTCTCTCTCTCTCTCTCACACACACACACACACACACACAACATTTGTCACGAACTGTACGAAACAAATTTGGTTGTTTCTTCTTTTTTGTTGTTTTATGTTTTAATCTCAACAATGTTATTTGTTTGTTCTTCGGACATGGAGTTCAGTTGAAGAACATATTTTGTTTGTTTGTGGTGTTTCTTTGTTTGTTGTCTGTAACCCCAATATAAACGAGTTTTGACCTTCAATTTATTGCGAAAAAGCTTAAATTTCTTGAACAAATTGATATCTTGAAGCTTAATTCTGAATTTCTCTGCGAATTTATCCAAAGTTTAAAACTTTTATGCAAATTTTCTGGGTTAAGATCTTGTTGAGTTGTTTCTTGAATCTTTATTTGAGTTGCATTGCTTGAAGCAACAGTTTCTCTTTCGTTGTCAAATTTCTTGCATATTTTTCTCTTTAAAGCTCTAATTTCTTGAACAAAAGAGATATCTTGAAGCCGAATTCAATACTTCTATGAGAATCTTTTTTATGGGGTAAGGTTTGAGTTCTTGAAACTTTCTTGTGTTGCATTGCTTGGAATAGCAGTTTCTCTTTAGTTGTCAGATTTATATTCTTTTTCCTCTTTTAGAACTCTAGTTTCTTGAAGAAAAAAGATATTTTGATGCTAAATCTGAAACTTCCATGCGAATTTTCAAGGGCAAACTTTTGTTTCTTCAAATTTATTGTATCCTTTTCTTTAGAAGTCTAATTTCTTGAACAAAAGTGACATTTTGGATGTTCATATTTTCGTTTAAACCAATTACCATAATAAGTTTTGAGTGTTTAGATAAAAGGGATTATGATTATTTAAGGTCAAAATAGTCAGACTCTTTATTTATTTGTTCCAACATCATTTTTTTTTCATTTTTTTTAACTTTACTTTAAACTTAGGTGCGGTTTAGCCCTGGACCCGTTGACATATGGAAATCCAAGTTCTCAAAATTCTATTATGGATGCAGTGAAAGAAGCCCTTATTATGCACGTAAGCCTTCTTACTTATTCTAATGATTACTCTAAATTTGTCCCACATTAGATATGAATTATAGTCCTTTATAAAGTAATTTATAATAGACTACTAATAACTTCTACCATGGTTTTAAGTTAATTTGGAAAAAATTTAAACCATAAATATTTATAATTTATGCAGCTCCTGCTCGACAAATGCTTTCAAATGGTTATTTACTAATTGCTGCAAGTGGTGGATTGAACCAACAAAGAACAGGGGTAAATATAAATATGTCCTTTTCTTATTTCATTTGGGCATGCACAAACATATATTATAGGGGATAAATGAAAGTATAAATGCTTTCCTATATTAATTTTCTCATGAACATATATATATATTTTTCTTTATTTTTTATCAACCAATTTCATGCTCTCAGATTACCGATGCGGTAGTTGTTGCACGTATTCTAAATGCTACTTTAGTAATTCCCGAGTTGGATCATCATTCTTATTGGAAAGATGATAGGTGAGTAATGAGTTGAGCTATTATTACTTAATTCATGTCACTTTTTTGTGGAAAGTAATTTCTAAATTTCTATTTAAATTTGCAGTGATTTCGCCAATATATTTGATGTGGATTGGTTTATATCTTTTCTTGCGAATGATGTTCCTGTTGTTACGCGGGTCCCGGATAAATATATGAGATCACTTGAAAAACCACCGTACACAATGCGGGTCCCACGGAAATCAGAACCTCGATTTTACCTTGATGAAGTTTTGCCCATACTCTTGAGGAGACGAGTAAGATATTATTTAAATTCAATAAACAAAAAGACTTAAAATGCAAGAAATAACAATGTTGTAATCGGGTAGATTTTCTTCAAAGTTAACTTAATTTGATTAGTGAAAATTAATTTGTGCAGGTTCTTCAATTAACAAAGTTTGATTATAGGCTTTCTAGTGATCTAGATGAAGAGCTACAACGGTTGCGTTGTAGGGTGAATTATCATGCTTTACGTTTTACAAAACCAATACAAAATCTTGGTCAAAAGATTGTTATGGAAATGAGGAAAATGGCTACTCGATTCATTGCAATTCACTTGAGGTCTCTAAAGACCACTACCCCTTCATCATATTTTTTTTAGAAGGAATAACAACATAGCATCTTTTTATTTGTTTCTATTATAGGAGTGTACTTTTAATATTTTCTTTATTTAGTTTTGAGCTTGATGTTTAATGGTATGTAATTTTATTTACAGGTTTGAGCCCGATATGCTTGCATTTTCGGGTTGCTACTATGGTGGTGGTGATAAAGAAAGATTTGAGCTCGGTGAAATTAGGAAAAGATGGGTAACATTACCCGTAAGCATCTTCCATGTCTAAATTAGTAAATTTACCTTCTTTTGCTTGATTTTCTTTTAACTATATTTTACTTTTGATTTAGGAAACAAGTCCTGATGGAGAGAGAAAGCGAGGGAAATGCCCTCTAACGCCTCATGAAGTAGGTTTAATGCTACGGGCACTTGGTTTTGAGAATAATACGTATCTTTATGTTGCATCGGGTGAAATATATGGTGGAGATGAGACTTTGAAGCCTCTTAGGGAACTATTTCCAAATTTTTACACAAAGGAGATGCTTGCTAGTGAAGAGCTTCAACCTTTTCTTCCATATTCTTCTCAACTTGCTGCCATTGATTACATTGTTTGTGATGAGAGTGATGTTTTTGTCACCAACAACAATGGGAACATGGCCAAAATTCTTGCGGGACGAAGGTAAAAATTCTACAACTCTTCTTGTTAATTAGATGTGTCTAATTTGTTACATTGGACTAGCTTTCAATGGCTTTTTTACGTGATAAGGATGAGGAAGGCATTTACGTATTTTCTCTAACTTCCTCTATTAAGTCGTTCTTTCTGCATTAAATATTTAAAAAAAAAAAAACATTTGTATATAGCTTACAAGCTCAAGTCTTGTTCTCATTAAGTCCATTAAAGTTGTGTTTGGTGCGCCACAGCTATCTGATAAGCTAACTTATTTTTCGAGTTTTTTTAAGTTGTCATGTTTGGCAAGCTAAAAACAGCTTACAAGCCAGTTTTTAAAAAGCTAATTAGACTTAGCTTTTCATGAGCTTTTTTAAAATTTCCCAAATACATCTCTAGTTAATTATAGAAAACATATTCTTTTAATTGTCTTTTTATGTCATTTTATATCTTTCAGCTAGCTTATTAGCTAGTTTTTACCAAACGTCATTTTTATCAGTTAGCTTTTCAGCTAGTGCCTAAGTAAAAAATAAACACCACCTAAGTATTTGACAATTGATTCGATTATTTTAAAAGAAGCAACTAATTATTTTTATCTTGTGGCATTGAAAAGGAGGTACATGGGGCACAAGAGAACCATTCGACCAAATGCAAAAAAGCTCAATGCTTTATTTTTCAAACGCGAGAAAATACCATGGGAAACATTTGCTAAAAAGGTGAAAGCGGCCCAACAAGGATTCTTGGGTGAACCAGATGAGATGAAAACGGGTCGTGGTGAATTCCATGAATACCCTTCTACTTGTATTTGCAAGAAGCCCTTCAAGTTTTCTGACCTTGATAGCAACTACAATGCAAACCAAACCCTCACAAAATCATCCTTCAACCCCGAAGCAGAAACCGAATATGGACGCAATGAAGAAGATCAAGGTGTGCAAAGTATAGTAGATGGAGGAGGTGTGGTGGAAGAGAAAGGTGGTGTTAACTTTTTGTCTGACTAATGGCAACAAGAAACTTTGATAGTTTTGTTTTTGGATATATGTCTTGGGCTAAGTTGGCTCAGTGTTGTATTTATATATTTTCTGAATGCCTATTTTACCCTTGTGGTGTCATGTTAGGGTTTTGAGTTTGAGTTTTAGAAGTGGCATTTGGGTATGAAATGAATCTGTGTATAGACAAGTGTCGACTTCTTGTGATAGTTTTTTTTTATGGTAGGAGTAGCAAATGGGTGTTAGTTTACAAGATACTTGAACATTCGGTTAATTGGTTAAGTTTAGTTTGGTTTTGAAGAATTAGGGTTCAATTTTGAACCCATAATTGGTTTTTTCTCATATTTCATCTAAAAGATCTTCCAATTGCATAAACAAACATTTAACCCTTATACTCTTTATATATCGTTTGCATATCCACATAACAAAAAGATGTTCATTATGATTAGTAATTTTTCAAAAAAAATGAATTTTTGAACTTGCAATTTACTTTGAACCTTTATTTCAATTTTCAAATTGGATCTAATCTATCACTAAATCGAATTCTTTCACCCCTAGCATAGCTAAGAATCTCCGCAAGTTACATATAATTACAAAAAAATAGGTAAAAAAAAAAAGTAGAAAGTATGTTTTTATATTTTCATGGTTAACAGAAACATATAATTTTATCTGCCATAAGGATAAAAGAAGAAAATATGAGTTAATTTCTCAAACTCAAAACTAACTAACCGAAGCTACGATCCTCATCCAAAACAAAGTAAACCTGCAAGAACAACAAATGAAACTCAATAGAGAAACTATAACCATTGTCAGTGGCCTCAAAGTTTGATATCACAGAGTCTGAAATTCATCAAATTGACACCAAAACATTGTTCTATTGGTAATGACTAATGATTAATGAGTTTGTAACCTGTCAAGTTCAATGCTTGCTGGAATTCAGATCATATTAGAGTAGATAAGTGACCATTTTGACACTCAAGTGAAGATGAAGTAAAGTTTTTTCTCTAATTTCCACCATCATACAGTTTTAGGAAGTTATGAAATTGACTTCACATCGTGAAAGTTGATAGCAATCAAATCAATTGAGAAGAATTGGAAGTTCCAACTGTGCCCTAACATTGTGGTTTTCTAATGACGTGAAATGATATACAAGGTTCACGAATGGGGTGGTGTGTAAGAACTAATAGGAGTGAAAACGGAAACTTTACCGAATCAGGAGTGTGGAGGAGTAGATGAGGATGAATCAGGGTTTCCACGGCGGAGATCTGCAATTAGATCTCCTAATTCCTTCCGAGAAGATTCTCTGCCGAACATGAAGCCATACCTAAGAAGGGGATGATTATGAAGAAAAACATCGGGAAAGATGGAAATGAGATGAAAAAAGGATTTGAAAATTACCAGAAGGAGACGGCAGAGAAGAGTCCGGCGGTTGCAACTGTTTGGATGAGAGTGAAGCTCTTCACCATTTTCCGCACTCACAGATTCTGTAACCGTCGTAGGAGTGTGGTATGTCCGATCACCGATGTCGCTTCTTTTAATTTTATTATATCTTTATTTTAGGTTTAGGGCATAATTTTAGAGATACAAAAAAAATCATATTATTTGGAATATATGAAGTAAATGTCCTAATTTTTTAGTTTTTAGAATGATCGTTATGGCCTTATGGGATTTCGGATCTGTATATAATATGTATTTATTCTCTTTCAATTACACCAAGCATTTCAACTAAATTTGTACGTCTTGTATCAACAAAATTCGGTTTAGTAAGTTACTTGAACTTTTATAGGAATCCAATCGTTATGTATCATTTCGGGATAATATAATGACGCATTTCAAAATATTCTTCGGGTTTGGAGTCTGAAATAATACATCTTTTTTAACATTTTTAATCAGAAATAACATCAACTATGTTTCTTTTGTTTGTTATATTTCATGGGGTTAACCCAAAAATTCATTCTAATGTTGGATGTGCTTGAAATGTAGTATATCTTGCATCTATTTTGAAGATGTTCTTTGTATCTTGAATTTTGAAAACATTATTTGTATTTCAGAGCTTTCCATGTGACGGTTCAATATGTTTAACTTGTACATTCTTTTATTGTGTTGGTGCATGGTTGTCAAAGTTATGGAAAGAATCTGAAACTGTAACCAATTACTAGGAAAGAATCTAAAATCATCATGTCACCAATGCATTTTTCAATTCTCCTAGCAATAGACATTTGTGTGTGTGCCATAAATTTATGGAGAGACTGGGGTTAACTGTAAAATATGCAATGAAAAATGCACTAATGACCAATGTTGTAAAAATGTTCGACGTTAGTTAGTCGATGGACTGGAATTAAGGGATTAATCAGCTAGGCGGTGATTAATTGGGACCCTAAATTGCTAATTCTTTGAATTTTAAAAAATTATCGTTTCACTCATTGTGTAGATAAACATTAATAGTTAGGCGTCTTCTAGTTGGTTGGATAGCGCCTAGGGACTAATCGAAGATTAATCGAAACCTTGTCGGGATTTTTATAACAATGCTAATGACATATTTTCCATCTATCGATCGATAATAATTATGTCAAGTATGTTAGAATCTATTAGGTTATTAGGTTTACAGTTCATGGTGTATTGTATATTGTTTTATATAAATGAAATTATTGAGTTTATAATATTATATCTTATTTATATGAAGATTTATGATGTTTAAAGTATGATTACTTTTTTAAAATAAAGAGTACAGACAACAAATAGCAATTCGATTCCATAAACATATAATTCTGCAGACTATTTATTCATCCGTAGTGGTCTAACAACCATCACTTTGATTTGGTGTTTCCTTTTTAAAAGGAGACGGAAAATGATGCAATGCCTCTACATATGAAACTTGATACACCTATGTTGTGAATAAAGTCACAACCAAATTGTGATAATGTATAAATCCTAGTGATTTCGTTGTTGCTATCATATGACCACATTCTATACAAGAGCCATGTCATTTCCCACATTTACAAGACTTATCTTGTTGATTGACGAGACCATTCTTGATATAATCATATACTTTAAATGTGGTGTTTTTGATGGGGTATATGTTCCACACTTGAGCATCTTCCTTTCTTACTGCTATCTATACATAAAATGTTATTTGTTTCTAAAGTTCTAATGTAAAAGAAAATAACATTGTTGTCATATAATGCTAAAAGTAGTTATACACATAGATGTTTATATATTTACCTTTGTTATTATTATGACATTGAAAATATTGTTGTTGCATCGTGCAATGGAAAACTCAATAAGCATTGTTATCGTTAGTGTTCGTTCATTTTCTTGATAACGCATAGATGGACTCGACATCGTTAAAAGTCATTATGTACTCTTTGCTTGTTTCCTAGAACAAAATTTCCACTTTTGGATTATGTTCAGTCTTAGCTTGAAAATTCATGAGCAAAAATGTTGACAATAAAGTTTGAAACACGTGTATAATTTCATGTCAGTGGAATGGACATTATGGGATATTATGGCTAGATTCTTAATACCCTTACTACATTCCTTCAAACTTGATGAAAACCAAATGCATGTTGCAACTCTTTGTTTTTCCCACAATGTATGTAAGGGGGAAAATAATACCTTACACTCCGAAATGCAGTCTATTTACTCTAAAATGCAATTTTTCAAAGATGGTGGTGAATTTGGTTACTTACAAAAATTTAGGTTACATTCACAATAATCATTTCTTTTGGGACGAGACACTCGTAATGCATCCATCGTAGATGTATTTTAGATGGTTCTAATTGTGGGCGATAGTCTTCAAATAAGGGGATCCAGAGTTTCCAAAATCTATACTAATTTGCCCGTTAATAATTAATAGAACTGTGACATGATCTAAAACAAGTTTTGTATATAATAGATTAAAAAATTCTAAATATATAAAAACCTTCTTACATATCATTTATTTAATAACCTGAAAAATAATAATAAAGCAGGGCGAAGATTTCATCTCATACATCAAAGAAAAGCATTGTACTTCAAGGAAACTTTTATTGTGGATGATAAATTTTATTTTGAAAACTCATTATGTAAGGTAATTTTTAACTAATAGCCAAATCAACATACTTAACATATGCTAGTTGCAGCTAGTCAAACATAGCCTAAGTTGGGTAAACATTGTAACACCCCTGAAATTCCAAGGCTAAAAACGTAAATTCAACCAAAAACTTAGCATTAAATAACAAAGAAACAACACCTAATTTTATACAACAAAAGCTGAATGCAAACAGAATAAGATCAAATCACAAGGTCAAGGTTTTAGTGTCTGAAACTCTTTACCACCATTTTTAATGATATCTGTAACCATACAAGGTCCATATAGCGCCTATCAGGGGCAATTTGGTAAATATATAAACATCTTCTACAAGCTTTGCGTTTTAAGACCTTGGTAACCACTGTAATATCTAGTTCTACAATCTCTCGTTAATTACACACTTTGGAGAAATCGCCTCATCCAGGTCTAGGACTCCCTGTTACAAACATTATATTTATTTTAACAAGTGAGGGCAAATTTGTAAAAAACCAAGACTTAATGAGGGAAAGGTAACTTGTATTTTATCAAAGTGGGATATAAAAAAAGTTTTTTTGAGATTTGAGTAAATATTACCTTTTGACATACTCTTGTTGTGGTTTCTTTGACTTGCATATGAAACTGTAGGCATCTTTGAGATAGTCAATGAACTCTGTAAACCTTCTAGAAGCTGTGTAGTAGAAAACAAAATTTGAAAAATGAACAAAGCTTAGGAAACACATGTATAAAATTATAGGGTCAAAGTACAAGACTGACCCTGGAAGTTGGCTGAATTTTACGATTTGACCTCCGTGGTTCAGATTCTGAAGTCAAATTGTCTTTGACTTCCACTTTAGTTGACTTGTCATTACCAGATGGAATTTTCCTCTTGTTTAAACGCTCAGATACTACAACCTTCTTTGATGTTGAGCTTTGCTTTGGTGTATTCAATGGAACATCTTTGGAAGAAGAAGAAGAACCAAACCCTATATCCTTTTGCTGCTGACCTGGCATGTTTTCATCAGCACTAACATTTTTATCACTCAGAGAGGGTTTTGATTTGTCCTTTTGAGCTAAAGTTCTGACAATCGTTGGAATTGGTGGTTTTCTAGTAGTTTTGAGTGGTTTGGATTTAGCTTCAGCAATTTGTTTTTCTTTAGATTCGTTTGTGAAAATCTTTCGGAGTGGATTAATATTTGCTGTGGTGTTATTATTATTATTTTTACTGCTTCCATCTCCAACATAGTGTTTGCTCACATCCATGAATTTTTGCTTTTTCCCTGGTTTAGGAACACCAAAAACCACCCGTGACCTTTCCTTTTGAAAACCACTCCTCATTGGTCCACGTGTCTTCTGTTTGTTGTCATCCATGGAGGCTTTACCTATATCAAAGGAAGTATTTTGGGAAGAAAAGGTAGGTATCCTTGATTCTTGATGTCTACTACTTGTCTCAACATCAATACTCTTATTAGTATTATTCCATGCTTTCTCCTTTTCTTTATCAAACTTCGGTCGTTTTTCTTGTGGTGTATCACCCTGTAGGAATATATATATATAATATATATATATATATATATATATATATATTTTATATTAAATAAATAAATAAATGGGGAAAAGAAAGAGAAAGTAACTAACCTCAGAAGAATGGCGTCCTTTCAAACTACACCACTCAATCCACTTGTCATCCTTCCAGACAAGAGTTGGCCTCACATGCCATGACCTAACAATTGATGTCTTTCCTTGAGCTGGAAAAAGGGCAAAAAGGTAAAATTTCAGCATGTTTTATAAATTTTGAAGGAAAACTCAGATAACAATACTTACCAGGAAACTGGACAGTTAAAGAAGTTAAATCAATCTTATTTGTCTCCACAACAATTGCTTCATGCCAGCTACAAAAAAAAGATACATCTTGTGATGATTAATAATTTAATATACATGAAAGCATTACGAATGAAAATGTAAGGAGTTGAGTTAAATGGTTACCTATCTTGTACCCAAACATCAACTTGATCTCCACTACACCAAGCATAATCTGAAAAGACTGTTCTGCCCCTCTTTCTACTCCCTTCAAATCGCATGGTGGTCAAAGGATGTGCTATACGAATCCTGGGTGCCTCACTGCCTTCAACTTCAAGTGGGACCCATTCCATTAATTTCCCTGACCCTAAAGAAAAAAAAAACAGTAGAATGATTAATCAATAATCAATAATTCAATATATTATATATAAGTAATTTGTAACATGTTACCTTCATCTGATGGAATTTCAGTGTAACAGACAAAAGCTTTTCCATCTTTCAAAGTCAGTACATTAGCTGCAAACCAGGCACCTTTGTTCTTGTTATCATCTTTATACACCTAAAATCAGACAAATGGGTTGACAAAAATCAAAACAAGCTGTTAGAATCAGAAAAGTGAAATACTAATTCCCTTACCTCAACAAGACAACCCTCTTTAATGTTGTTGTTATCTTTCCATGTGGGTGAAGTGCTTTGTGGCATCATGTCCACGTCAGCAGCAGCATTAGAAGCATGACTTGGTCCAATCTCCAAATCAGGAACTGCTCCAATGGTTTTGGACAAATCAATACCTTCACGAATCCTATCATTTTCATAGCTTGTAATCATCATCTGGTTCTTGAACAAATCATCATGTTTCAAAGTCTGAATCTTTTTATCACTGGAAGCAGCTTCAACATTCTGTTTTTTAGATGCCTGTGGAGTTTTCCAGTAGCCCTCGGGACCCGCTTCAACCAATTCACTAATAGCCAAGGGTTTACCCATTGCAACAATCTTCCCAGCTTGTGAGACAGCTTCAGCTGCCAGCTCAGCAGCTTTGACAATCGCATCTAGATTCTCAGCATGCTTTGAAGCAGCTGAAGCAGCTTCAATTCTCTTACGTGCAGCTTCTCTTGCAACAGATATGACTGAAGCAGGTGTAGTAGTTTTATGAGTTTCAGTTCTACTTGATAACAACACTTCATCAGCCATTAACCTTGCTTGTTCTGCAACATTTGATGCGATTTTAGCAGCATATGCAGCCACTTTAGCAACAGAAGCAGCAGCTGCAATGGAAACAGCTGAAGAAGCTAGCTTTGCTTCATCATCTGAAGCCAAACCAGAACTCTTTTGTCTTTCTAATTGGCTCCATACATGTTGGCAGTGTGTGACTGCAACAGCAGCATGTTCAGCAGCTTCTGTTGCTTGTAGTTTGGACTCCTCAATTTTGGTCATGATTTCCTCTTTGGTTACAGTTTTCTCTGTGTTTCGGTCAACAGGTTTAGGTTGACCATGAGTAGATTCAGGAGATAAAGCCGAGAGAAACTGATTGGTTTTGAGTGTGATGGAAACAGGTGTGGAGAAGGGGACAGGTGGAGGAGAAGAAACAGGTGTCTGAGTCAAGTCCACAATATTAGGAGTCGGTTTTTTCCTTTTTCTGGTTTTTGAATCATTTGAAGGTTGAGTAGATGAAACGATTGTGTTCTTGATGTGGGATATGGAAGAAGGTGGGATAGGAGAAAGGATTGGAGAAGAAGTAAGGTCCACAGGAGTTACAGATAACCCTGGAGCACCTGATTCTTTAACAGTGGTTAGTTTTACAGATTCAGTTATAGGAAGTGAAGAAAAGCGAGCATTGAATGGAGAAAGTGGTGAAGAAGCAAGCCATTGACCAGGGAAAGGCCCCTGAGATGGCCAGGATTGATTATGACCAGAGAAAGTCTGAACCCTTTGAGCCTGAAAAGGATGAAGAGGAGAAAGTGTTTGGCGATAATCAAAAATAGCACTTCTTGGTGTGGGATTAGTCTGCAAACGATCATGAGGGGTAGAGATATTCCAAAGAGGAGAAGGAATTGGATTCATGGGACTCAGACTAACAATTGATCCTGTAATAATAGGTGTAGACAGAACTTTGCTTTGAGCAGAATCAGTTTTAGTTTCTTGTTCAGGATCTCTGTTAACTGTATTTCTCAAAAACAAAGTCAAATTCAGATGAACACTACAATAGTAATTACTAAATCAATAACGAATTTGAACAGCTTTAATGTCATGAGGTACCTGATCGTGATTGCAAAGGGGTTAGAGGGTTGTTGACTTGTGACTTATGACCATGAACACGTTCTATACAAGCATGCCAAGCAGCCTCCCAGGCTTTCCTTCCAGGATCTGCAAATATATGGGAAGAGGATGACAATAATATAAGATTTTGATTTGATTCGGTTAAAAATGACTAGTGTAAACTGTGAAGTAAACTGACCTGATTGTCCAAATGCAGCAATCATGTGAGGCTCTTCAGGTGACATTCCGGATCTGAAACATGTTCAAGACTTTCAGACATGGATTATAAAACCAAAAGACAGACATACATGTGCATATGTATGAAAAGTAGACCTACATTAATGATCCATATACTAGAATCTGTGCTCGCAATTGCACTTGTTGAGTGTCTGTGAAAGACTGGTGGAGTATAGAGGTTGGAATATTCAGATCAGGCTGATTCTCAGAGGTTATCAATGAAGAAGGAGATTTTTCTGTTCCTGAACGTCTTGTGGGAGTTGTTTCCTTTGAGTGATTACCTTTTTTGGCAGTTTCTTTTCCAACTGATTTTCTTCTTGGCTTACGTTCAGAAGTTTTTTTGGCTCCTGATTCAACGGGTGCAACACTAGGCGTTTGAGGGGTAACCAGAGAGTCTTGATGGGGTTTGTTAGAATCCAAAAGCCCACCAGAAGAACTAACAGATGACACCTTCAAATTAAAGGCAGTGTTATCAAGAGTTATGATGCAATGCACAACAATAAGTAAGTCATGTAAAGCACAAAGATAAAAGGAATACCTTTGAGAAATCAATATTCTGAATGCCAGTTTGTCCAGTGACCTCAAAAGTAAAGGTTTTTCCTTCTTTTCTAGCACTACTTGAAGAAACCGACTGAAGTCCTCCATATCCTTCATTACTTATCTTTGAAAGTGGTGTATTCTCCATGGTGACCTCGTGCTTATCTTTTGCACTTTGAGAAGGTTCGATGCTTTTTGTGTCTAAAAATGAGAAAATTTGAGGTTTATCTTTATCCAAAGAAGCAGAACCACCTTCAGTCTCATGTACAGATGGAACGGCTACACTAACAGAAGTCTGCTGTTCATTTGAGATGTTGACTGCAAAAACAAGTCAGGTAATCAGAACAACAAAACAAAATTGCATTTGAACAACTTTTATATGAAAATGAAAGGATGTCATTGTAAAGGAACAAGGAAGATTCACCTGTTAAATTTAGAGGTTCCACTCCTCCTTCTCCTGCCATTGATTCTTTAGGATCCAGTAAGCCTCCAGCATCAGCCTTATTGGCCTCTTCTGATAAATCACAGGAAAGAGGGATTGTCTCCAATGGCTTAGAGCACTTGAGACCACTTTGATTAACATCCACTGTTTGTTCACTTGGGCCCACATCAGAGCTTCCAACAGGAAGATCACCATGAGAATCTGCATCTTTTTTAACTAATGGTAATGGACTACTATCAACTTGTGGGGTCCCTTTTTCGCAATTTCCTCCTACTTCAACTTTTTCTTTATTATCATCGTGCAATAAACTCACCCCTAGTATAGGTGATCTTGGCTGGTCTTCAGCAACTATATCAGCTTCCTGTGTCACAGGAGATGATATTTTACTTGATCCCACATCCGCAACTGATTATGCAAAATGAAACAAGAGTTAGTTCTGATAGATCATGAGTATCTGCATTTATATTGTATGTTTGAAACTCCAAATAGAAACCTAGATAATGTACAATAGTAAATCTTATACATACCAGCATCAGGTAGAATGGCCATATTAGGTTCAGATGCTTGAGCCATCACAATAGCCTCTTCACAAACTTCAGCAGACAAAGATGATTCAACATTCTTTTGAGTATCAGGAGCTCTATCAACATCCATGTCCGTATCCTTAAAATCCAAATGCAATGCTGTGTCTCCTCTCTCATTGAAAGTAAAACCTTGATCCATAGAGACATCTTCTGGCTCCAATGATTGAGTTTCTTTATCACCCACATGTGCTAAACCAGAAATCTTGACAGACGAGCTTTGATTTGAATCCTCTGTGTCAATGTTTGGAGTAGCATTTCCAAACAAAGATGGTTCAACATTCTTTTGGCTATTAGGAGCTTCAACTTCATCTATGTCCATATCCTTAGACTCCAAAGGATCTCTTGCATCCCCTCTCTCATTGAAAGTAAAATCTTGATCCATAGAGGCAGCATCCAGCTCTGATGATTGAGTTTCATCACCCACCTTCACTAAATTAGAAATCTTAACAGGCGAGCTCTGATTTGAATCTCCAGTGTCAATATTAGAAGCATTATTTTCAGCTCCTTCATCCTCACTTGAGATGTCTACAACAGGCACTTCAGCTGAAGAGTTTGTTGATAATAAAGTGATACCAACATTATTGTTGTCACTTCCTTCTACCTTTGAGACAGAAGGATCTTCTTGCAATTCATTAACAAAAGATTCACTAGCCAAATTACTACCCTCCTGATTTGCATCATCAGATATCTTAACAATATGCTCTGGCTCACTATTATGAAAGTTAAGATCACTTGCATTTTCATTTCCTGTTTCAAGGACTTCTTGTGGATTAGCTTGAACCTCCACAACACTTGCATCAACATTCTGAGAGGAACCTTCAATTCCATCTTCTACCTTGGAGGCAGAAAGATCTTGCAATTCATTAACAAAAGATTCCCTTCCCAAATCACTACCCTTCTGATTTACATCATCACAAAGCTTATCAACATGCTCAGGCTCACTACTATGAAAGTTCTTTGACAGATCACTTGCATGTTCATTCTCCTGATGCTCCTCAATACTTGCTTCCTCTACCTTGGAGACAGATAGGTCTTCTTGCAATTCATTAACAAAGGATTCATTTGCTAAATTAATATCCTCCTCTTTTGCATCATCATGCATCTTATGAATATGCCCAGGCTCACTACTATTAAAATTCTTTGAAAGATCCGTGTTTTCAATGGGCGTTTGAAGAACTTCTTGTGGGTTCTCAACACTTGCATCAACATTCTGTGAGGAGCCTGCAATTCCACCTTCTTCTACCTTGGAGACAGAAAGATCTTCTTGAGATTCATTGGCAAATGACTCATTTCCTAAATTATTTCCCTCCTCATTTGCATCATCAGATATTTTATCAATATGTTCAGGTTCACTACTATGAAAGCTCTTTGGAAGATCATCAGTGTTTTCATTGTGTGTTTCAAGAACTTTAACACTTGCATTCACATTCTGTGAGGAGCCTGCATTTCCACATTCCACCTTGGAGACAAAAGGATCTTCTTGCAATTCAATAACAATGGGCTCATTTGCCAAATCATTCACCACGTGATTTGCATCATCATGAATCTTAGCAATATGCTCAGACTCATTACTATAGTTCACTGAAAGATCAGTTTCATTTTCATTGAGTGTTTCAGGAACTGCTAGAGGGTTCTCCTGACATTCTTCAACACTTGCATCCACATTCTGTGAAGTATCTGCATTTCCACCTTCAACCTTGGAGACAGATTGCATTTCATCTGCCAAATTACTACCCTCCGGATTTGCATCATCACATATGTTATCAACTTTTTTCTCACCAAAAGATAAACCATATTTGTCACCTACAACTACAGAATCTAACCCCCCAGGAGAAATATGAGTCTCTTGAGATTGAGAAGTAAATGTAACATGAGATTGCTCAATAAAATTCTCCTGGAACTCATCTTGATCATTTTCATCACATTGCTTCAAGTTAGGATCCAGTTCTTCAGCCATTGTTTCTTCTAGAACTTTTTCTTCCTGTCCTACTGATTTCAAAAGCATTTCAACAGATTCTGAAGATGTTGCTTCAGACCATACATTTTGACTTCTTGATTCAGCCACACTTGAATTAAATGGTATTGCACTAGGTCCTTGTGAGTATTCCTCAATCCACTGATTATCTTCCTGACTTGTGATACCCAAAAAAACCTCGTTTTCAACCAGACTATCAAATCTTAGATGCTCTTGTAAGTTATCATCAAAGTCAAATTTGGGAAGAGGGTATGAATGCAACACAGGAGAAACTTTGGAGCTCCCTTCCCCAGTTAAGTGCAGATTTTGTTCTTGAGCATCATTGTCATCATAATCCATTGAGTATCCCTACAGTTGAAATAAAGTTGTAAGGGATCTTCAAATATGTTTACAATAACTACACAGAGAATGGAATGAGTTGTTGATAAGGAATGAAAAACAAATGTTTAGTTAGCAATCAAAATGGAAACATAATCCACAAGAAATTCCAACTTTTTTTTCATTTCATTGGGTATAGGAATGAAATATGTCAGAATTTGCCCTTGATGAATTACACTCCAGACCAATTAAATCTCTATCCAACTTTCCCAACTACAATTTATAAGGGAGTTTAATATATGACTTTTTTAAAGAAATTTGCTATGTAGATCCTATATATCTACCAAATCTCCTTAATTACATATTCACATTTGTATTATGACCAAACACCTTGTTCCTGATGTAGTGGTCCCATACAGCACTATTGGCTATTTAAGACTCCTTTATATTTCCCCATCTACTATCTTACTTATCTTGTTTACTACTTTTTTCCTGGATCAATATACTTATTTCTTAAGATTGGTTTGTGTGTGATTCTTGTTTGGAGACATTTATTTATCAAAATACAAATCCTCCTTGGTCATTGCCATAGTTTGAACAACTACCTTTTATCATTTCATTTTACATCATCCATATAATGAGCTCTAGCAAGCAATCATCCTAAATAGGCATCTCTTCCTAACTTAAACTTCCCGATCTGTCCCAATTGCATAGAAAAAAAAAAGAAAAAAAAAACCCTTAAAAAATTTACATTCAAGGGAAAAAAATCTATCGTTGGATGGACATTGTCTTAAAGGAAATATTTACATCAGTTACAGTAGAATCAATTTATAGTATCATAAGAAAGAAAAAGGTACAAGCTTTAGCTCAAGTGCAAAATCTTCATTTAAAACATAAAACCAAATTTCAAAAACTAGCTAAAGGCAACAAAAGCCCTTTCAAGTTTAAGTTTAGGCCTCATATGAATAACTATAAACCCTTTGCCACCAAACATACAAGATACAAAAATCTATGAGGATATGGTCACCACCCATAAATGCACACAAACACTAACCGCATGCAGGCCATCAGGCACAACTTTATGATCATTTCAAACGACTCAAAAAGGTTTATTTCTACATAATATATATCTCTCTCGCACTCAATTCCACTAAAAATTACTTGAACAAAATCAAATTTGGCAAACACTAGATATCATAAAATAAACACAAATTCACGCTAATCATGTTCAACATATTATCTGACATACAAAAAGTGAAACAATATTTGTGCAACAAACTCACTCTATCGTCAATGAAACAACACACGTTTACAGAGAAAAAGGAACTGTTGTTACCAGAAGAAGTAAATGTAGAAGAAGAGGATAAGATATTACTACCTCCCTCCATTCGGTGATTGAATCTGACCGTTTGATTAAAGCTGCCGGTGCTTCGCACAAAAGTCCCTCTAGGGCTCAGAAAGCTCGACTTCTTTCAAATTAAACAAGGAAAACAAACCCTAATTTTACACGGAAACAGGAGAGTCGTCAATGAATTCGAAGTTATGCGATCCAACACTGATTTTCAGAAATGAAATTGATTTCTCGGATGAAATGAAGAAGTACCGCGACCTAGAGAGAAGGGGTAAGACACTCTTTCAGTGTTTTTGAAGGCGTGCGCGAGAGGATGGCGATAGAATTTGAAACAGTGTTGAGGGTATTTTGGTAAATAACGATTTAACGTGGAGGCATATGATTTGTTGGGAAATGGAATGGCTTTTTAGAGATTTTTGCATTTGAATTTCAGTGATTACTCGTTGAGTCGTTGGAGTGTATTCCTTTTCTTCAGTCATTTTTATTTATCAAAAGTAAGAAAATGGTCATTTTTTATTATTTTCTATATTTTTATTTTTTTAATATATTTTATATAAATATTATACTTGTTTTGTAAGAAATTAAAAAACATGAATTTTAATATATTTTTATAATTTTTTAGTATATATATTTATTTTAATAAAACTTAAAAAAAGAAATAAAAAATTAAATTAAATGCAACAGACAATGAAATGAAGAGAGTGAGAGCGGGGAAAATACCACTCACCTCTATTTCGTACCGCCTAAACCGCACTCAAGGTGTTGTGTTTCAGGGTGTGGTTCACGTATCTTTCACTATTACCGCTAGTACACAATTCGGCCTTACATTGAGGAAATTGATGAATCGATGATGTCTATATAAAATCAAAATGAGTTTAAATAAAGTAGATATTTATTTTTTTTGAAAATATCATGATAGGTTTAGGTTTGTAAAGAATTTATAAGTTGAATATTATAGCAACTATATTATAAAAGTAACAAATTAATTTTTTGAATAACACTTGTCATTTTTTATTTCAAATACGATTTTTGACAAGCCGGTCATTCCAAATTTTCAATATGATTGCGATCAAGAAATTAAGCTTGAAAATAATCAAATGTTTTTGGGAACATGTCCAGTCGAAGCGGCCAATCCGTAAGGGAGGAGGAGGGAACCTTGGCAACCGTCCATGGCCCAAATGGATTGGAGGCCCCAAATTAATGTTGATCGTTAACAGGAAGTTCATCAGCTTCATAAAAATATTGAAGTGTCAAAAAGTGATGCATTGGTAGACGATAATTTGTCAAACGGGTGAGCAAAATGGCAAAGCTATAGTAAATCCCCCATGACACTGTGACTTTATTTCTCTCACTCTCTGAGTTTTTCGATTTCTAATTGTCCATTTTATCAATCGATTTGATAATTCGTCTATGATGTGGGTTCTAATTTCTAATTCCCCCAAGTTCTATAAGTTCTAATTGTTGGTGATTTTAGTGTCACCTGGCATTTTGTGTAATTGAAACTGACATGTGAGCTAAGGGGCTTATTGTTAGTACTCTATATTATATGTTTGGTGAATGCGGAGTGCATTCATATATAGGATCGAGTTATAAGTCAGTACGACAAAAAAAGCGGGGGTCAAGGGGGTCGTGCCTCCTTGCAGGATCCTAAGGGCAGCGCCGCTAGCAGGGTCCAAGGGGCAGAGCCCCTGGCGGTGGTTTGGGGGCGCCTCCAAAAGGTCTTCGGAAATTTGAATTAATTCCATTATGGAAAAACCAAATTCTAATGGGTGATTATGGTAAGATTGAGAAATATTGTCAGTTTTGGAAATCATTGATTAAGTCATTAATTTCGAGATTTCTCTAACTAATTTAGAAGATTAAACCATAATCTTTCATGCATATGTACGGCTCCTCTTTTGAGTCGTATACAAAACCATTCTCAACTTTTCTTCTTCTTGAACAAACTCAGAACTCTCTGGTGATTTGGCTTGTGTTTTTGTGCCTAGATACACAAATGTTTTTATATGGTGGAAATATCAGTTCGGAAAGTGAACTTACACGATCCATAAGGAATCCGGTTCTTCACAATCACCCTACATTCTACTCCCCAACACTAAATAATGATTTATGAAATATAAAGTTCTAAAGTTCGGTTCTCAACTGAAATTGATTGTTTGATCTCTATAACACTAATTTCTCTTCTCCGAGTCTGAATGTAACATCCGTCACTTGAGGTATTATTTATTTTAAATATTTATTATTTGTTGTTGGGCTATGAATTAGATAAGTGGATTATTGAGTTGGACTTTATCAAGTAGGTCGTGTAGTTGGGCTGCCCAGAAGACGTACGTTGGGCGTAAGCTTGGCGTACGCGGGGAGTAGAGGAGCTTTGGATTCGGGAGACACATGCACGTACGCACAGCGTACGTTAGCAGATTCCAAACCCTAATTTCTAGGGTTTAATCCATATAAATACAACATTATGACTCAAACCCTAGCCTCCTTACCAACCTCTCAACCCCAGAAAACCCTAGAAACCCTTTCATACTTCATCCTTGTGTTTTTGGCCTTGTGAAGCTTACTTTGGTGATTTGGAGCTTGGAAAAAGAGAAGAGAAGTTGGAGAAGAAGAACTTGAGTATCTTGAGCTCAAGGATCTGAGATCACCTCACCATTTGGCACTCATTGGAGGTATACAGCTTTCAACTTTCCTCATGTATGCTTAGATTTAGTGTAGAGATGTTTTGGGATCTTTTTAGTCCCAAGAATGGATCTTTATGACTCAAACTCGTTTCTAGGTCTAGGGTTGCCACCCTTAGTGACATATGAGTCCCATAAGCAGTAAAGTTTCAATCTTTAAGGTCCATTTGTGACCATGCATGAGATCTAGCCATTTCCATGGAAGTTAGTTGCTATATTCCAAGTTTGGGTTCATTTGGTGGGTTGCAAGCCACCAAGTAGTCGACTTTATGAGTTAATACATGTTAAGGGACTCAGATATGTAATTTGGACTTAATGTCTTAAGGGATTAAGCGGTTTTGAAGAATATGGCTTAACAGGGTAGTACGTTGGGCGTACACACTAGTACGCGCAGCGTACAAGCCATGCAAGTTGTACGCATAGCGTATAGAGGAGTACGCTCAGCGTACTCTCAGGTTTTGGGCTTCACGTTATTGGGCCTCGGATTGGGCCAAATCTTGAACTTATCATCCGTTGGGCCTTAATGGGCCATAAGGAGTTAATTATTGGGTCAAGGACATATTTTGGGCTTTATGAAAGGCCCATTTGAGGAGTTGGGCCCAATTTAGAAAATTGGGCCTTTAGTGGGCCATTAGAGGGCTTGGAGAGATTATATGGGATTAGACCTTGGTTATGGCCCAAATTAGACCAAGGGGTAAAATGGTTATTTTACCCTAAGAAGGATTATGGATTTTTGACTAAGTGTTGTTATGAGTATGATAGTCGGGGAGTCGTTGGAGCAGCCACTAGAGATTCTGTTGGGTTTTGAGCATTCTAACACTCCTATGGTGTACATGCAACCCTATAAACCTTGGATCTATGTTTTCTCTATTATACATGCAAATATTAACTATTCCAAGGTTTCATCCTAACTAGCATATTATGAAGCACCTATACTACAAAGTTCTAGTTAGATGACATACCTTTTGATGTAGCTTGATGTCTTCAAGCTTTAAGAGCTTAGCCCCAATAGTGTGGAAGCCTCAAATGGAATCACAAATCACCAAAACACCTTGGAAGAACTTGAGAGAATATGTATGCACACTAAAATCGGCCCACTCTTATTTTCACACACTTGTGCCAATTTTGTGAGCCAAGGACCCCTTTATATATTATGGAGGATTAGGGTTACATCCATGTAAACCCTAATACCCATGACCTTTCATTTACATAGGATCCATGGGTTAAAAGCTCCATGGACCATCCATGAAAGCTTAGCCCAACCTAAATGAACTTGGCCCATTCCATATATATAAGAGTCCATATTTAATTAGTTCTTTTTGATCACTTAATTAATTCTAAATTAATTCTTGATCAATACTAATTAAATAATATGATTCCATATTAATATATTAGAACTTATAATATATTAATATAAATCATAAATATACTATTCTCAAAAGACTATCCATATAAATTGTGTCGGTGAAGTGCAACCCAAATGGACCATGTCGGGTCGGGTCAAGTACATACCAAATATAGTTATAGACTTAGACATTAATCCAACAGATTCCTCATTGTGAGATTCAGTTGTCAGCTTTGCGAGGTGAGTTTCCTCCTAGGAAGGGGTCTAAGGCACCAATGTCGGGACTACGGTCCGATGTCGGGAAGTGCCCGATGTAGATGTTAGCATGTGCCGGACTACGGTTCGATGTCGGGAAGTGCCCGATGTAGGTTTATGTGTTTATATGTTTTCGGACTTCGGTCCGTTGCCGGGGAAAGCCCAAGGAATGTTTGTATGCTTGATGTCTTCGTGATTCTTGCATGTGCTTGTTTATATGTTCCAGACTACAGTCCGATGTTGGGGAAAGCCCGAGGAATGTTTATATGTTGTGTTATATGTTTCCGGATTTCGGTCCGATGTCGGGCGGGGCCCGAGGAATGTTTATATGTTTATGTTATGTGCTTATTATGTGTATTGTTGATATGTTAATATGTATACCGAGCTTCCTCGATGCCAGGCGGGGCCCGATGCCGGCGGAGCCGATGCCGAACTTCGGTCTGATGCCGGGGCGGGGCCCGATGCAGCGGGCAAGGCCCAATGTTATGTTATGGGATTATATGTATGGTATGTGGTAGTTTGGGGAGCTCACGAAGCTTCGTGCTTACAGCTTTCAGTTTTGGTTTCAGGTACTTCCGGTAGCAATGGGAAGAGCTCGGGATGACTGCAGTGCACACACCATTTGTTTAGCCTGAGATGTTTATACTCTGATATATTTTGACAAATGTTATGATATTTTCTTATTCACGACTTATGGTTTTTATATGATGATTGGATGACTACGGTTTTCTTAATGATTTAAAATGAAATTTTTGGACTGTATTTTTGGGATGTTTCACTAAATCTATGGTAAATGAAATATGTTAATCGCTTGATCTTTATTCTCTCGTCTATTTGGTTTTTAGGTGTGTAACATCTGAATCTTGAGGTACATTTTATTTATTTAAGTATGGCTGTTTGGAGTTGCCACAACGTGGTGGAGGCACCACCACAACGCGACACTTTTGGACGCGGACTTCATTTAATTTGTCACGTGTGGCAGTCTATGGGTCACAACGTGGTCGCCATCTGGTGAATTAAAACCTAACTTTCCAAGTTTGTATACTATTTAAAGGAATGAGGAGGCTAGGGTTTATCCATCCTCGCCCTTCATTACCCTCCTAATCTCTGAAGAAACCCCAATCCATTTCCTCCATCATTGAAGTTCATTTTGGTGCTTTTGGAAGATCTTGAATGAATAAGGAAGAAAAAGTGAGCC